AATTTGTCCTAAACAAGAACTTGTTTCTCATGATGGAAAATGATCTCTGATATTTTCATTTGCTGTTACAGTAACACATCAGAACCAAAATAGTCTAAAATGATTGTACCAAATCCCACTAATTAAAATTGGCTCCTATACACTGAATAAAGCTTTAGACTGTGGTTGGGCAGCTCGCAGGCCAAAACATCTGGAGGACCACAAGTCTCCTTAGCTCTAGCCAATGGGAGTAATGGGAGTTGTTGGCCACAATATTTGGAGGGCCACAAGTTGCTCAGCCTTGCCTTAAACATTCTCCCATGTAAAACCTGCAGCTGAGGCCTACAGCATCTGGTCATCCTGTGATGGTTTTACTAGTGGCATCCGTGTTCCATAAATTAACACAGGGAACCATCTGTCAGGATGTTTTCCATTATAGTCTTCATTCGATAATGCAGTCATTTCAATTATCTGTGTCCCACTCTACCATTCTTAAATGAAATTCCAAATCCTGGGACAACTACCTTGTCCTGAGTCACAGCTGTCATTTATGTTTTTAAAAGTACCTTAACCAACTCCTTGCCTGGAAAGGCTTCTAGAGAGGCTTTTAGATCAACATCACAAGGACAGTCCCTACTTTTGAGCTTACTATTTAAAAGACAGCACATAAAAGAACTGGGAAGGGGGAGGAAAAAACGAAACTTGGATAGCAGTTCTTGAAGTAGCATTTCTTATAATGATCAGTTGCAACAGGAACAGTTTTAGGTGATGTGGTAGGATATTTGTTGCTCAGTCACAGTTAAGAAACTCAGTTTCTTTCAGAAGTGCCAGTGGAATAGTTCTCACTTCCTTTTCTGCAGCAGCAGCCTGGTACACCTGACATGATCTGATCAGTGGTGGAGAACCATTTTTGTATGAAGTGCTGTTGACCCACATGAAAAGTTTGTCTGCTGGTAGCAGGCAGAGCCAGAGCCAGAGCCAATTGTCTCCCACCCCACATTAAATTTGGCCAAGGGTTGCATGGAGCCTTTGGGGCTGCCAGACCCCCATGCCATGCCTGAATAAAACCCTCACAGGATGAACAAATGGTATGGACCTGAACTGTTGGCTTAATGGATAGATCATTTAATGCTGTAGTTAGTCAATGCAAGCAGGGTTTAATTGATGAGAGTGATATTTATTTAGAGAGCCATGAGATACAGTATTTGGTTAGATGTGGAAGTAGCTTGGTCCTTTTTAACTTATCCAATTATACACTGCATTTTTTCAGAAGTCTAGACTATGCAGCAAAGTTGTAGTTACATATTATTAGTTCCTAACCAGATAGTGGTGGGATTTCTTTATTTTTCATAAAGTCTTTTATTTATTCTATTTTTAATTTTCAGCTAATCATGGTGTCTTAAATGGTCATGGATTCTTTGTAAACCATTAAAACACGCAAGAAAAAGATATCAGTTTTCATCAACATATATAAAAGAAACGTACAATCACATGGCAAAGGTTAAAATCAAATGTGAAGCTCAAGGCTACCCGCAGCCCTCTGAATGCAAGAGAGAGGAGGCGTGCACTGGCAAAGATTGCCTCTGAGCTTCGCTTGCCAAGAAAAGCACTTAATCGAACAATATTGGCCATCTAAGTGTTTTGTCCCAGAGTGTGAGGAGAGGCACCTGAGGCAGGATTCTACATCTGGTGACAGCACCAGTCTCCTTCCATCCTTGCCCACGGAACTCCATCTTGGAATTGCTGCCAGCAGGTTCTTTCCACGTTAGCTGCTCTGAGTTTGGAGACTTAGTTCTAACCTCAGAGTGAACTTCCGAAGTCAGAGCTGGAACTCCAGTTCACTTTGTGGCTATATAGATTCTAACTAATAGCCAGAGAATTGTGCCCCAAAATACCCTGCCTGCTTTGCAGCCATCTCTTCCTATTATTTTTCTCATTTTTTTCATCATGTTTTATATTCTCCTTATGGAAAACAAGTTAGTATTGTTTCACAAAACTTAAATATGTTAGTACAGTGAAATAAGACTAAATATTGCTTCTATGTGTGGATTCTGGAGGCTGCCTAACGTAATAGCTGAGGTATATACATAACTTGCCTTGCATAACTGAAGAAACCTGCTGATTCTGGGATGCTTGTAACTGAATTGCTAGTGCCTTTACTATGGCAGGAAGTGTTTCACATGGTGCCAGTCCTGCTCCTGTTCCTCCACACAGATAGTAGCATGGTAAATGTGGTCATGGCTAGCTGTCGTTCAGTTGTCATCAGGAGCTGCTTTATAGCAAATCAGAGCATTGGCCCATCTAAGCCAGGACTGTTTGCACTGATCGGTAGCAGTGATCCAGGGTTTCAGGCAGAAGCTTTTCCTGGAAATGCCTGGGACTGAACCCAGAATCTTATGCATACTGCATCACTGAGTATGGCTCCATCCTTTGGCTCAGTGCTTAATCACACATCAGTGCTTGTCTGACAAAAGAAGTCGGATTGAGCCCGTGGTGACTGCAAGGTTCAGTCATACATGAGACATATTTGGCGTGAAGTAGCTTAGGACATAATTGCTTGTGGATTAAAGTACCAGCACCACTGGCATCACTTCTTTCCCCACAACTATTGGGTTAAGCAGAGGAAAATAGCCCTATATGATTTTGAGTTTCCTTTCATTTGTATCTCAGTCCAGAGTAGCCTCTTCCCTCTGACACATAGTCCATGTGGCTATTCTAGGCTCTTGTTCTGGTGCTAGAGGACAGAACTAGGTCCATGGAAAATTTCCATGACAGCCTGAGATATTCGCAAACACAGTGTGCAAAGCCACATACTTTGTGTGCCCTATCAGCCATACGGATGAGCAGATGACAAGGATAAGCAGAAGTGTCCATTTTGCCTGTTTGTATTGCTTAAGCCCTGAAACCAGCACCTGAGACTTAAAATGATGGCCATGAGGTGTTTGTTTATGCATTTACTAAAACATATGTATTTACTATGAGATGTTTGTTTATGTATTTATGCTGCCTTTCCACAAAGGCCATGAAGGCAATGTAAAACTAATCAAAATAACAATTACCTAAAAACATAGGTAGCAATACATTTAGCAATAAAAACATGCTAAAACACTAAGACAACATTCAAGTCACTAATGGTGCAATCCAATGCATGTTTAGACAGAAAATAGTCCTATAAATCCCGCAGCTGGCTGGGGAATGCTGAAAGATGTAAAACTGGTTTTTGTTCAAACCTGGATAGGCTGCATCCCAGGAGCTATATAGAGTATAGTAGGTTTAGAACAGGCAAAGCAGACACTCTGTAACAGAGCGCTTTGATCTTGGAGCTGTGCATCTCTGTTAAGTCTGGCCAGACAGGCCGGGAGAAGTTGTGGAGGCATTTTGGATGCCCATTTCTCCCATGGGCGCATCCAGCCCATCCAGTCTGTTGCTTCAGCTGGGCATGGGGGCATAGGCCAAGGGGCTTATAGAACCAGTGGATCCCTGTCTCTCCATCCCCCTTCCCCCCCAGTCATGTCTCCTTTCCTCCTTGCCTCTGATCCTCTTCTAAGGATTCTGTTGCTATGTTTGCTAAATGTTAAATATACATCCCAGCCTGATGGCATGGAGCAGGTCTTTTGCAAAAGGACAGTTATTTCTCTGTTTTCAGCCTTTGCTTCATGCAGCAATTTGTATCTTTCTATTTGTAAAAAGCCCAGTTGGGAAATCCAGAGAAGTGGTATGTGTGCATGTAGACACGCAAGAAGGTTAGCCCTAACACCGAAAACAGGTCCAAGCCATGGCCGTATTGATGATGACAATTTTTTTTAAAGAAAAAAGATAAGAAATCGGGCTTGTATCAGCAGGGACTTGAGGTTGTGCAAGGTGGCACTGGTCAAAGTGCCCATTTTAAACTTGGTTATTCCATTAATCACTTATACAGCCCTTTTCAGATTTTGGATTTTAGCATCTGTGCTTGTGAAAATCTTGCGACTTGTGTTTGAGAGCAAATGTTTTTCCTGAGTGTGCACTGAACTTCATGGCCGAGCAAGGACTTGGTCATCTGTTTCTTGTATCTCCAAGCGCAACGCTGTGTACAGTGACTCCCGCATTTGCTCATACATGGGTTACAAGTCCTTCTCTGGCAGAAAGGGCCTCTGACTTGCCTTTGCTGAATGAATGAATGAATGTTCCTTTAGGTGACAAGGGCTGTGAGTTCCGGGGGATTTATCTTATTGCTGTCTGGATATCTTGGGAAAGAGTGAAGTACTGTTTATGAAGGTGGCATTGTGGTCAATATGATGTTGCCAATTTTCTCTGCCACAATGGAGAACAGTCTTCTTGTTTTTTAGAGCAATCTGTTAATAAAATGGAGCATCATCTGCCACATGGCCTTTGCAGTGTAGTCTCCTAGGCTGGGTCAAGCTTGAATAACTAGGATGTTTTTAGGAGGCTGACATGCTCTTTGAGCAGAATTGGAAACCCAACGGTGATTTTGTCAGGATTTTTCTTATATAGTGGAAGTTTTAGTAGGAAATACTCCATAACCATGCCAGGTGAGCTGAGAGGAGGGAGGTGCTTGTAACTGCTCTTTAAGGTGGGGCCAGAGGTGACGGCCAGGATTCCACAAATGAAATCATCCAGTTGTCATTGCTACCCCTGAATACCATAAGCAGGCCTGGAAACTGCCCGACCTCAAGGCACACCACCAACTCCAAAGCCAAGTGAGGCTCCTGCAACCTGAGGGAGTTTCACAAGAGAAGAGATATACCCAAGCCACATGGTGTTTATAAACCCAAGTCAGGAGGCAGTGCTGGTGCTGTTACCTGTACAGAATGCTGGGGATGTGGTCTCTCCTCACTGGAGAAAATGTGGACCAGGTATGCTATGGGCAGATGTCCTGGCAGCAAAGGCTGCTTTGACATTTCCAGTTCTGGCAAACCTAGTCTAGTCAAATCTTCTGCAACCATTCTGTGGCTAAGGGAGAGGCTTTGGAATCAGGGCTGCTGGTACTGCTCTCAAAGGCCTTTGATGTTCTCTTTCAGGGTGTAGAATGCTGGCTCCGGTGAGGCTCGGCCTGCCCACATGACCTTCGCCACCACCATGCTGTGCCCTTGGCGTGGGAAGCTGAAGCTGCTGCTGGCCACGGTGACCCTGGTCTTCCTCATCTCTTGGCTCTACCTCTTTATGGGTAATCTGGAGTATGAGTGAAGACAGCAGGGGATGATTCAGGGAAATTGGGTGCACGGGCTTAGGAAAGCAGGTGCTACACATGGATTATTAATGTATTACATGTTAATGCTGACCAATCGTCCAAGTTCTCTTGGTAGTTCACAGCAATTAGGAGTTGGGACTCCAGACTACAGCTACAACTATGTTGCTGATTCACTTTGAGACCTTGGGCATAGGTGGGCTTCCATTTCCTCATGTAAAAGAAGACTGGGAAAGCTGTCTTGACATCCAAATAGATCAGGGTTTATCTACATGTGGCCCTCCAGAGCAGCCTTCCCCAGCCTGAACACTCCGCAATTCCTGTATCGCAACCAGAATAGTCGTTGCTTGTGCTGCCTGGGAATGATGGAAATTGTAGCACAGCACAACTGGTAGGTGCTAGGTTGAGGAAAGCAGCTCTAGATGTTTTGGCTTACAGCTCCCATCAACTTTTGCCAGCATAGCAAATGGTGAGGGATTGGAGTTGTAGGTCAAAACATCTGGAGGGTCACAAATCCTTCCCCCAATTTAGATGACAAGGCCAATGGAGAATGCCTTGTCTTGCCTTGCAGGATATGTGGCCATACTGTGTGGAGTTGAGGTTGGCCTTTAGTGTAGTTCATTTCTTTGGATTCCTTATAGTGCAGCACAAGTATGCTACAGAAACAGCAGCTGGCCAGGTTTCCAGTTGTGGGGATACTAAACGAAACAACCCCAAATTAATGATGGAGGGATTGACCACTGTTACAGCTTACCATCACTTCAACTTATTATGCTAGAACAGGGGTGGCCAAACCAAGGCTTGGGAGCCACATGTGACTCTTCGAGTTTATCTTGCAGCTCATGGCTTGCCACGTGAGGGTGCCCACTCGCTGCTGTCCACAGGCACCCACTTGCCACCCACAGGCAGTGCCTGTGAGTGCCCACCTGCAACTCTCAAACACCTGGCATTTACCCTGCGTGGCTCTTCTGTTGAGCAAGTCTGGCCACCCCTGTGCTAGAATAAACCAACAAATGACTTTCACTCACAAATGATGGCCTCATCAGAGGGCCAGTGCCCTCTGATCAAGCCTTCTTGGATATTCAGGTCTGGGTTGCTGGGGCTGTTCCTCCTGTGTGTTTTCTTTTCCACTGGCTGTCGGCTTGATGGTTATTGGGATCCTCACTGGAGAGTGTGCAATAGAGCTGCCCTTCTCCCTTTCCGGTGTCAGTGGCAGACCTGGACAGTGAGACTTGCATGCTACTGAATACAATATGCTATGGTGGGATATGGCCCAGAGTATGTGCCCCAAAAGCTTCCCAAGCAGATGCCATTTGGTATTGGCAAAGCTAAGGGCAGAACTACCCACCCACTCTATCTCCACTGCTTGGAGACCCAATATTGTGCACTCTTGCTTTTTAGTATCTGTGAAAAGGCCTTTTGATTCTAGCAAAAAATAATAGATGGAATGAAACCTGGATAGGTAAATAGTAAAGCTGTATGTAAGATGAGGTGTTGCATTTTACAACTTTGATACTGTATATAAACTAAAAGCACATTACACTAAACATTTAATCCAGCTGTTGTGGAAATTTGGGAATTCCTTCTCTCTGCTTATTCTTGTAGTTCTACTGAAGTGTGAATTAATGGCTCACTCCCTGTAGATGGTACTGTCTTCACCATTGCTTCGGGGTATTCTCTCTATAGATGGATGTTCCCTTATGCTGCCTCCTTGCTTTGGGGAACGGTCAAGCAGGTACCTTGACCGTGAGGCCTTAGCATCCCAGGTACAAAAAATGGAAGAGGAAAACCAGCTGCTGCGGCTACAGCTCAGCCAATCCCGGGCACAGGATGAGATGGTGGATGGCACAAACAGCAGGCAGCAGGGAACAGAGTTCATAGAGGACCAAGATGGAAGGAACAACCACAGTGGCTGCCCCAGGCAGAGGATGGTTCAGAAGTGTGAGGTAAGGCTGAGATAAGATTAATTGTTGGACATTGTGGGCACAAGTTACTGTCCAAGGAAGGAAAGGATTGGAAATCACAGCAAGAGAAGTGTGGTGAGCCCTAAGAATAGTGGAGGAAGCTAATTAATTTCTGTTAAGGTACTGTGACTTTTTTTTTTGCAATGGATGGTTTGATGGAAGGATCCTGCAATATTTTTCCTCACCCCACCAAGAAGAGGTTTGTGTGATTATGCATTTGGGGCAAGCAACTGTTTTGTGTTCACTTTGCTTTTGGAAAAAGAACCTTGGCCTGTCTGCCTCATTACTGATGGAATGAAGATGAAAAGAATATTGGTACATAAGAAGCTTGGATACTCCAGGTTGGGCCATTTGTCCATCTAGTCCAGTATTGTCAACTCTGATGGGTACTATCTAGTCTTACCTGGAAAAGTTGGGGCTTGAACCTGGGATTTTCTGCATTCAGACCATGCACTCTACTGCTGAGTGGCAGGCCCTTCCCTAGGGCAGGGCAGGTGATTCTGCATGTAAAATGGCAAGGGAAGCAATGTCTGAATTCCCAGTTCTAGTGGAGGAAAAAAGGGAGATGACCTCTTGCAGTGCATTGTGTTTGATGGCCAGACCTGATCATTTCTTGTGTCTCCGGACAGCTCCTCCATGTCGCGATTGTGTGTGCTGGTTACAATGCAAGTCGGGATGTCGTTACCCTGGTGAAATCCATCCTTTTCCATAGGTACCTTTCCACCCTTTTCTTTGAGCAGGTAGTGAAGTTTCTGACTTTTCCAAGCTGTTTTGAAAGGTTCAAGAATGATGCTTTTCCACCCCTTGGCTTTCCAGGCTTCTGTTCTGGATGTGGGAGGGGAGCCATAAAGCAGGTTCAGCCTGGGGCAGGGAGGGCACATTTGGTCCCCTGCCCTCCACCTTTCCCTGTGAGGAGTCTCACTGCAGGGAGGAGAGGCATCTGGATGTCATCCCTGTGCTGCATGGAAGATGAAGGCATGAATTGTAGCGCAGGGGTGGCAGAATGCCTGGGAAAAGATTCAGAGGACAACCCAATCAAGCCTTCTCTACCCTGATGGCCTTCAGATGTGTTAGACTGCAATTCCCATTATTCCCAGCCAGCATGACCATTGGGAATTGTGGGAATTTCAGTCCCAGTGCAGCTGGAGAGCACTGAGTTTGGGAAGGCTGAACTGGGCCTATTTCTTAGAAATCTTGCATTTTCCTATTGTAAGCTTTACTTGTTTTCTTCCCTGATAGGAAGAACCCTCTCCATTTCCACCTCATCACTGACTTGGTGGCCCGCCAAATCCTGCAGACCGTGTTCCAGTCCTGGATGGTGCCTTCGGTTCATGTCAGCTTCTACAATGCAGATGATTTGAAGGCAAGGGAACCAAAGCTAATCTTGTTTCTGTCCACCTACCAATCCCTGCTGACTTTTGAATGTCCTTCCAGAATTGATGTTTCTGTGAAGTGAGCAGCTCCATAGGTTAGGCATGTTCACTGTGAGATAGGAGCCACTACCCCCGCTGCCTCTGCTGTTGCTGTCCCACGGCAGGGAGGGTACGGAAGCACCTACTGGCTGTGGTGGAGGCATTTCTCTTGGAACTGAGCTCCCTACGGGCAATCAATGCAAAGTCTATGAATAGGTTGAGGAGCATTGCTCTGTTTGCTTATTGCAGGGGTCAGAAATGCTACAGGGGTCTGCCATTGAAGGCAGAGGATTTGCTCTGACTGCCATGAGAAGGGCTAGCATAGCTAAATCTGAGGTCCAAGAGGCCATGGATTCTCACTGAGGCTGCATATAGCTGCTGCTGAATATGCACTTGAAATGATTCTATGTAGCTATAATGGATTTATTTATTTATTTATTTAGTTTTGGATTTATATCCTGCCTTTTTCCTGCAAAGGGCTCAAGGCAGCTTACATCATTCTTCTCCTCCATCTTATCCCCACAACAACAACCCTGTGAGGTAGGTTGGGCTGAGAGTCTGTGACTGGCCCAGTGTCACCCAGTTGGCTCCATGGCTGAGCAGGGACTAGAACCCAGGTCGTCTGAGTCCCAGTCCCATGCTCTTAACCACTACACCACACTGGCTCTAAAACCACTAATTCACATGAGGGGATATTCAACAGTTCAGTCTTCTAAGAATGTGAATCCTTTTAGCAAAGTGAAAGAAGAGGCAGGCAGGTTGGTGGTAGGGGCCTGGAACAACACCTTTCCGGGGGGAGAGGGTACCCTCTGACGCTCGTGATCGCTGGGCACTGTTGTTTCTGACCCATTGCCAGCTCTTGGATACACATTACATACAAGCTTTTCCACAAGGAAATGGATTTGAAAGAGGGTTTTTACCTTGAAATTTGCAAGAGGGGAACCTCTGGCCTGATAAAAACACACTCCTGTTTTTAAAATATAACACTGGTCCTCTATCAGCTTCACTGGCTTCCCATTGAAATCCGGGCCCAATTTAAGGTGCTGGTATCAACCTATAAAGCCCTGAACAGCTTGGGACCAGGATACCTGAAGGAACGTCTTTTGCCCTATATGCCCTCCTGCTCCTTAAGATCTGCAGCAGAGGCCCTGCTCCGGGAATCCTCCTTGAAGGAGCTCAGGAGACAGAATACCCAGAGGAGGGCTTTCTCTGCGGTGGCACCCTGGCCATGGAATGCGCTCCCTAGAGAGGTCCGCCTGGCGCCAACATTACATGCTAAGTTTAAATATTTTAATTATGGTTTTATTGATATCCTCACTTGTGTGTTCTTTTGTTGTTAATGGATGTATTTATTAGGTGTTTTAGCTGTCCAGAGACGAATCATAATGGATGAGATAAAAATATCCTAATAAACAAAATTTTAAACAACTCAGCTGTGAGTGGAACCAGGCAGACATTGGAGCTTTCAGCCTTGGAACTGTTTTATTCTGGTGCAATTGAGAGGGCAGGTCTGTCAACAGTGTTCTTTCTGGCTGCATTAGATGACTCTGATGAAAACAAAATACCACCTTGAGTGGCTTCCACCCTTCAGGATGGACTAAATGTAATTTTAAATACTGTAAATAAATAGCATTAGAACTCAGATCAGAGATCAGTGGAGAAATAACAGGCTGCTTTGATGTCCTGTCTGTTTTCAGTGCACCCTCATCACTCGGGCCTGGCAGACAGAGGCAGTTTTAGGCTTTCGTCTTGCGCTCTGCTAAGATGCATGCTCGCGACATTGGCATGTCACTCTCCTGCTCCTTCTTGTGTTGCTGTTACAGCCAGCAGTTTCCTGGATCCCTAACAAGCACTACTCTGGAATCTATGGGCTGATGAAGCTCACACTCACCAAGGCTCTGCCTTCCAACCTTTCCAAGGTCATTGTCCTGGACACAGACATCACCTTTGCCACTGACATTGCTGAATTGTGGGCCATCTTTGGGAAATTTTCAGGTAAGTGGCACATATTTAGAATGTTTGGGAGGGGGTGCACATGATGATTTAGATGGAAGCTTGCTCAGCCTGAGGGCCAGAACTATTTTGGGTAAGTTCCCAAGGGAGGGGCAGATCCCAGTGGTGGGCAGGGCCAACTACAAAAGGCTCCAGTACCAAAAAATACCAGTGTATTGCAGCGTAAAGCACTTACTGCCAGTGTTTAAGCCTTAAGCAAGGCATTTCAGCCTTTGAGAATAGGGGGGAAAGCATTCTAGCACCCATCTCTTGGATGGTGCTTTAATCTGCTTGTTGTCTACTGAAGCTGTAAGAGATTATTTTCTAATCAATCAGCTTTCTAATTACTCTGCCCCTTTGCAAATTGATATGCAATGAAAAGCAGTTTGATGTGGACTTCCTGATGAATGTGTCAGCTTCTAGGATTCGGCATTCAGGGTTCCAGAGTACTGAGCTTGGGAGCCTGTCTTGGAGATAGGCAAAGCTTGCTAGTTTGGTTTTATTTATCCTGTCCCCTAATCCAGACAAACAGGTGATTGGGCTAGTGGAAAACCAAAGTGACTGGTACCTGGGAAATCTCTGGAAAAACCATAAACCGTGGCCAGCTCTGGGACGTGGCTTCAATACAGGTAAGCACCAACGCATCCACATGGGCTGCAAAAATGCAAGTGTGAACTTTCTGGGTATGGCAGCTTGGAATTGGGATTGAGCTGAACTCTGCCCCCATGGTGCACTAACTTGAGTACTTGGGTTTATATGTGGAGAAATCTTAAGTCCTAGGTAACTGCTGTTAGCATGTGGCTGATAACTGATACTTTGTGAATGGGGTCAGCCAGCCCTGGTGGTGCAAGGCTGAGGGGCACGGCTCTTTGGGACAGGGACCCCAGAGCAAGTCTTGCCTCACTTGCAGCTGCTGATGTCCTTGATGGGTCTGGAGCACTTCCTGGCCGCACCAGGTGCTTCTCCATAGAACTGCTTATTCCCGCAGGGCCTCCATGGAGATTGATCCAAGTGCATTTTCATTTAAATTACTTTTATTCTGGTTTCAGCTTCAGGGGCTCATGGAGCAGCTTACAGATACGTAATCACATAAGATGTTGTGGTTCTTCATGTGAGGCAGCAGAGGTCTGGACTCCTTCCTGCCACTGGTTTCTCATACCAGTAAGCCTTCTGCTTAGCAATGCACACATGCATGTGTGAGAGACAGATAGGCCATGAATCTGTCCGAGCACTGGACAGTTTTAATTGTGATGGTTTGATAGGTGCTCACAGTGTTGGTGTTTGTACTGGAATAGGCAAGGTGAGCCATGCAGAGGATGAAGAGCAACATTTCTGAACCACAAAGCCTGACAGTTCTTTTTATACAAGTGCCAGTGCAGCCCTCTTCCTCTGGATATTCTCACCGTCTTTGTGCAGAATGGGAGTTCGAGTCTTGGCTGGTCCCTGAAGACACTGTGCACACGTATGCTGCATTCCAAGCTGAGAGGCCTCACAGGGGACAGTGCAGAGCGCCATAGGGTTGGGGATCCATCTGCCTCCCACTCCCCCAAAGATTCTTGTTTGGAGTGCATTGTTCAGTGCCAAGCTCAACAGTGCCCCCTCTGGAGGTACTCTGGGTCTCCTCTCCTCCTCCCATCCTAGGTGTGATCCTCCTGCTGCTGGAGCGCCTGCGCCGAATTGGCTGGGAGCAGATGTGGCGGCTGACAGCAGAGCGAGAGCTCATGAGCATGCTGTCCACCTCGCTGGCAGATCAGGTGAGTGTTCTGAGCTTTGCACTCCTGGCTCTCCTACCTTTTCTTGATTTCATGCTGTGCAGAGACTGGATGTTCCATATGATAGCAGTCAGTCAGTTTCCACTTGAGGGGATGCCACCCCAGGGTGTTCTCTTCCAAAAGTGCCCAGGGCGCAAAATGTCATCTCTCTTCTAGGACATCTTTAATGCAGTGATCAAGCAGAGCCCAACAATGGTCTACCGGCTACCCTGCTTCTGGAACGTGCAGCTCTCAGATCACACTCGTTCGGAGCAGTGCTACACAGAGGTGTCTGATCTTAAGGTGTGTATCTCCCTAGAAGAGGCTTCTCTGGATTTCTCTTCCAGATGTGAGTGGGCCTCTCTCTCATTGAACCTTGAGAGAGCTCTCCAGTCTAGACAAAGCAGCTGGGGTCACGCTGAGGGCACTGGGGAGAGGGCATCCGGGACATACCTGAGTCTTTTGTTTTAAATTCCCAGGTGATTCACTGGAATTCTCCAAAGAAGTTGAGAGTGAAGAACAAGCATGTGGAGTTTTTTCGGAACCTCTACTTGACCTTCCTTGAATACGATGGCAACCTGCTGCGCAGGGAGCTCTTTGGGTGTGCCAGCTTGCCGAGTGGCCAAGTGAGAGCCTGTCTACCTGTCCTCTCTTCTTGTCATGTCTGAAACAGAGAGTCCTTTTAGGCTAGCGGTTTATTTAGCTGCTTTCCTAGGTGGGAGGGAAGATCCTCAAAACTGCCTGTGTTCAACACCGTGCCTCCTAGCTTCTGTGGAACCCCATCTATTTCCCTGCCACCTTATTTGGCGTCTCCAGCCCAGCCCAGTTCCCAGTTGGTGATGACTTACAGACCTTGGGCACAGGTTGCACAGCCACAGTATTTTGTCAGTATTCCCTACCCTCAGCCACATCTTATCCTAAAGTTCTAATGACAAAAGAAAAGACTCTCCATCTAGAACAAGGCAGCCATGTTATTTCAGTTAGGCCTTCGCTCCAGTTGGTTAATGTTTTCTTGTTTACTTTGTGCAAAACTCTGCTCCATTTGATATTTCAGAGATGTGCAGCAGCAGCAGCTCCTTTTTGCCAGCTTAGCAGGACAGCCTTCTAGCTCGCTTGCGCGCGCGCACGCGCGCGCGCTCTCTCTCTCTCTCTCTCTCTCTCTCTCT